GAAAATTGAAAATAAAATAAAAAAGGACATGACTGTCATTTAACTTAATGTTTAAGATTTCTCCTAATCAAACTTTGCTATTATCATTTGTTAGTGGAGTTCATCTGAAAAATTCCTCATAGTGACAACAGTAACTCAGCTCAAGTATGAATTCAAAAACCTCCCAGCCACCACTACATCTTCCATGGACCAAAAATGTAACACAATCTGAAATGAACTCCTAAAAACATACCCAACTACACACCCAAGGAATTAGACTTGAGCCAAAATATGATCTGTTCACTCAGAGAAAGCAAATCCAACCTGGTTCTTGGGTACTGGAGGCTTAGCAGATCAATTAAGACCTCTTTAATTATATCCATATATTGATACCATCTCCCATTATTTAGTGCAAGGTTATTATAGCTAACTAGAACTAAAACTAGTGTAAAAACATCCATGCTTTTAAAAAAAAAAAAAAAAAAGGGCCCGGGGAATAACCAAAATGACTTTGTCTGCACACAAAGGTAAAATAAAAAAAAATATAGAGGGCAAGTATTTAGTTTTATGAAGACTGTTCAATTTCAACAGCTAGTAATGCCAAATGATGCCTGCAAAATATTTTTGAAGCACAATGACTAATTTTGATGCTGATGTCCAGCTGCTTTTAAAAGCTTACTCATTAAACAGTCTAGACCATCTGCGTCACATGCTGATGTCGTCTTTGGTGTGAGACAGGTGGTTAGGCAGTTTTAGGTGATGTCAAAGGTTTCTGCAGCACTCTCCAAGGCAGGTTGAAACCAGCACAAGCTGTATGCAAAAACTGTCTGGATATTCAAATGAGGACATTTAACGTCCTTTAACCTCCCTGCTCTTAATCTCTTAAATCAACTTGCCTCCTTTTTACCTCATTGTTCTTGCTGTCCTTTTACCTTACTCTGCTTTCCAGCTCTATCAACCTCTCATCTTTATTATATTCTTCCTTTGTCCTCACCATTTTCCATCATCAAATACTTCTCTTCACTTCTTCGACATCTTCAGCCATGAAGCTTCGCTCGATTCTCTTACACTCTGGATTTTTTTTTAACTCTTTCTTGCCTTTTAGAGCAAAGCAACAATACCGCTTCCTCCTCCTGCTCCTCACTATGAACGTCATCATCCCCAGTGTCTGATGGCATCAGTTATTCTTTCCACCTTTTATCTTTTATTTTTATTCCATTTCCAGAGTTTACACGTCACATTTTCTGTCTCAACTGTCTTCTCTTTACAAATCTCTCTACTTCTCCTCTTAATGCATTTTTCCATTATCCATCTTTTTTTAAATACAGTAAACACAGCTGAGTCATAGAGATGATGACTTTAACCCATCACTCACATCCTCTTCCTCCTCCTCTATTACCAGAGCAACACAAGGATGTTTAAGTTTATCAACCACGCAAGATTTGTTTAATCTCTCTTCATTTCCTTGCCATGTACCCTCTTCTGTATCTACATTTTGTTATAAATTAAGTTTATATTTCTCGTGTTAAAGAAAGCATAAACACAAAGCAAGTATAAAATGTATAAATATAAGGCTGGTGAGGTGGCAGAGGCAAACGTTAGAGGGCAGAACGTTGAACCAATAATAAAATAACATAACAATTTCCTAAAATTAACTATTAAAGTCTAGTTAACAATCACTGATTACAATGCATTATGGAAAATAAATGGTACAGAAATAAAAGATGAGACTACCTTTTAGAAACTGAAGTAACTTCTACTATCCTGATTTGCATCTGTATAGCTCACAGAATGGCTATTTACATGTAAAAACCTCCTCTAGGCCTAAGGGGCTGAGGCAGTGACCTTCTTGTGCTTGGAAAATTACCAGAAATTCAAATTTCATGGCAATATCTGACATTTCCTCGACATCTTCTGCGCTGCCAACAAACGCCCGTGAAAAACAGCAATTTGAAAGTGCTGTTTACTGATGAAAACACTTGTAATGCAGTGAATCATTGCAACTTCTACAACTTAACCTCTACTCAACCGAACATGTTTTTAGGTAGTAGATGACATGTACTGCAACTTTTAAAATGGGAAAACAAGTAAAACTCGAGCTATGAACTAGTGTTGACAATAAAAGACATGACATCAATTTTCTAAAACACTTAAAATCACCTTTATGTCTTATTTATGTTTCCCCAATACTCTTCCCATCATCTGCCTCTCTCCCACACGCACACACACACACGCACGCATGCACGCACACCAGTTGTAGATTCCCTATCCGAAAGTGGTTAAGCACCACATAATGATAGACTGTACACATTCACACACAGAGAATCATATGGGATGAGATGATTAGTGAAGGAACAGATGTTTACCGTTATGAGGTCTTCCTTTAATTCAAACATACATCAGCAAAAACAGACTACAAAAATCAGCCTGTGAGGAGGAGGAGGAGGCAAAAGATGATTGCACAGCGAGGAAAACTGCTAAAAATACAGGAGCTCAACATAGTTTCATGTAGGTGTAACTATGATACAACAATATCAATGTCTGGACTATGATCGTGCAGAAAAAATCCAATACTGCAAAGTTTCACTGGGAACAAGATTGAACAAAAAACAACATCTTCAATACAGCTAATCCATAAAATGACAAAACGCGGTGGGCTTTATTTCTGTTTAAGACTCCTTGTACCAACAAATGGCTCAGCAGTTAGTCTCTCAGTCTGTCCCTACTTATTATATGGTGTCTACACACACAGAGAGCACTGTACAGCAGGATAATTATAATGTGAAGCCCTGATTGGTGACTGTTTTGGTGCATTGTGCAGGGGAGGGAGAAAAAAAAATGCTCTCATGTGCGTGTGTGTGTGCTCTGTGATTACGTGGTGACAACATGTGAAGCTGTGGTTCAGTCTCTGTCTTTGAGTTGCTTTTGCTTACTTGTTTACTTATGGTCTCTCACAGCTTTGCAATTCTCATAGAGAGCATACAGTTCATTCAAACCTCAATTTCAATTTTTGCAGCCTTGTCCATCATTTCTATAAACAATTACTGCATTGGACAAGCTTATTTCAAAGAGAACTTTATAATACTTTCAGTGTTACAGTAAAACATGGGATGATTAGAAACACTGCCAGCCTTGTCTATATGCTTGTCACTTTCAAACTGACCTACATTCAGAGAAGCTACATTTTTAGCATCAACTTGATGAAAGCTTTTTAGCTTTAGATAAAAATTTCCCGCATAACAGCACCAGCTCAGGGCGGATACGTGAGATCTGTAACTTTACATATTCAGCACAGCGTTATCATTACAAGTAGAAAGCACAGCTGAAACCATAGACCCAAGCTGTAATTAACCCAAACTTTTCTTCAAATGCTCTGACTTTCTACTGATCTTTTAGACTGCCTGAAACTAATGTGGTCAGTCATTTTGAGCTCAGAAGTCAGAATAAAGGGAATGTTGCAGAAAAAAGACAGAAAACAGAATTAAGGACCAAAAAGGAATAGGAGTAGCAGAAATGTGTTCAGGGATGTTAAATTCACAGGCATCACTGTTTACCCTGGGCGGGTCTGCACTTGTGATGTGTGCTCAAACTATTTTTCTATCTTTGCATTTGCCCATTGGATTTTGTAGAGCCACAGGACAGAGAAGATATTTGTATAGAGGCCTTGAGGTTGCATTTCAATCTTCGTGTATGCATGTATGTTTATGAATGCAAGCGTGTGCATTTGTGGCATTTCTGTTTTGTTTAGTTTTTTAAATTTCTTTCTTTCTAGCATACAAGGCCTTCTGCAGTCCTTCCTAGCAAGCTTTCAGTTTGTTTGGTAATGGGATGTCAAGGCTAGCTGCAACCATTGCAACTGCAGGGTGTGTTACTTTGATAACAGGGGAGGGAGTGGCACAGGTATCTGCCTGCCAGTGTGCCTGGTTTCTGGCACAAGTCCAACTGACAAGCCTGGAGTCTGACCTCAGACCTCACTGTACAGAGGCTGCTCTCACAGTATTTATTCAGTGAAAAAATATTGGCAGATTTAAAATAATGATCAATTACAAAATTACTATAAGCACAATAGCTGACTATACCCCTCCATTTTGGGTAGGGAAGACATTTAATCTCATATTGACTGTGCTAAAAGTGGCAATTACCTTACTGTCGTAAGGTAATTGCAGCAAGCCCCAAATCAAACACAAGCAGTCCAAGAAGCACAAAGTAAGTGGAAACAAATCCACGTAATTCTAAAGTCAAGACCAACAAGACCAAACAAGATTAACAAGCCCGAAGGAGATACACCCTGAGATAAGATCAAACAGTCGCAAGGTAGCAACAACAAGCCCCGTGTCAACAAGTCATTATTTACCCCAAAGTCCGAACACAATTTAAGGAACAACAAGTTCCATCGCCATACAGGCCAGGTCAATGAGAATTTCTAGTGCAAAACTAACAGTGCAGTTTTAGTACTACAGATTATTTCTAAACCCAATAAAGTTAAGTGTATCATATTTGATAGATGAGTTTTTGAGACCACCATTTCTCCAGATGCTCCAAATTAGTACAAAGAAATAAGCAAGGGTGACTGTTTACTATTGATATTTGCGGGGTGAGACAGTATTTGAGTTAAAATGTCAAAACTTTGAAAGAGCTAATTTTTTTATATACTTAAAACCAAAGTGTTGCATAGTTGTTCTTTTAATACATAAATATGTTTTAAGATTGGGTTTTTCTTGGGGCACAGATGACAGAAGGATGGCCATGAAATAATCCGTCAGAGAGCTGAAAACACTCATGTTAACACAATGAAGGCAGGATCGAAAACATTCATGTTGTTACTACAGAGATTAGCTCACTGTGGAAGATGGCTTACATATATAGAAGGTGGAGCCTTCTATGAATAAGCTGTAATATCTCCATGTTTTACAACTTGTATATACACATGGGGAAAAAACTGTTGTGTCCTTTTCTTGTTTTCTGTTGTCTGAGTGCAGCTGAAAACCTGCTGGAGGTGAAATGAAGGTGGTGATTCTTACCTTTCTTCACCTTCTTCTGCAGTTTGATGGTGTCTGAAGATTTCTTCTTGATGTCTGCTCTGGCCTTCTTGTACTCTGAACCACAGGAAAAAGCAGAAAGTGAGGAAGCTTTTGTCTTTGCCTAAGTGTCTGTGAGTGCGTGCTAGCCTGTTGACATACCTTTGGCGTGGTCTTTATCCAGCTGACTGGCCACTTTTTTCCACTCCTCCATTTTCAACTCAAGAGGTGTGATGAGACCTTCTGAGAGGGACCTGAGGGCAAAAAGAGATATAGACTCACTTTATAAAACACTGTGCCGAAACATTTTTTTAAAAATAATTAACACTGTAAATCAAAAGAGCACTTTAGTGAAGTTCCAATAAGGGCCTAAGGGTACATCTTTCGCCATCTTACAATGCTGTGATTGCAGCCATTCCCCAACTACCTGTGAATGGTACTCATGGTCATTGATCAGTGGGTTTTGGTCAGTGGTTGTTGATCAATGGTCATGAGAATTTGCATAATTATGATTAAGGAACTGACCTCCCAGCCCATTGTTCCTTCAGTGGGCTGTTTTCAGTCATTATAAGATTTGGGGAAACCTGCAGTCAGCTGAGACTGAAGAAGTCACT